CCCCCACGTCCCCGGTGTCACATCTTCTTAGGGGCCAGCCACTGCTCATGTGGCCCTGCCCCACGGGTGAACTCTACAGGCTGCAGGCCAGTCGACCTGGCTCTCGCGGTGGGTTGAAACCCCTCTGGGCTCTGCATCCTCCTTCTCTCCCCTCTCCTTTCTTCAACCGACCTTGCTGGTTTTTTTAAAGTTGTTCTCCTCAGGTCCCACTCCTTTCTCCGCTGCACGTCTCTTCTGATGGTTCTGAAGAGTTCCCGGCTCTGTCTTTCAGGATGGAGCTGCAACGCGCTTAAGCTTAAATTGGGGTCGGGTCGAGCCGGCACGGCACAGCCCAGCCGGGCAGGGCTGGAGCCGCAGCCTGCGTCACCCGCACCTGGGGCTGCACTGGTCAGGGCCCGTGCCAGAGGGAGAGAGAGAGAGCATGCCCTGCACCCCCCCTTAAATACATGAATTCGCATGGGTGAAGGCACAAGGGTGCTGACTGGCTTGGCCCTGGTCAGAGGTGAGTCTGACATTGGAAAAAGGGGAGCTTTTCAGGTAGCTTCTTAAAGGACTATATCCATAGCCCTTCCCCATTTCCAGAAACAAAACCAGAAAACTCTCACAGAAAAACCCAATACACTTACCAGCAAGAAGCATTGCTAAACTGATAAAAACCGATGTTTTCCAGAGCGGACAGGAGCTGAACAGCATTTTTAAGGCAGGAGACCAGAGACTAATTACTTGTTGCTTCTGGAGCCTAAGAGCTGAAGCACTGCTGTCAGGCACAAAGCTACATGCATGTGGGTCGCTGTTGTTTACAGCGTGCCTTGCTTTGAGGCAGTGCTGTGATAAGGCCTTAGGCAGACGCACACGTTGCCCAACTTGCTGGAAAGCCAGCAGAGAGATTGCCAGCACAGTTTAGGGAGGCCAAGTGAATGTTTCTCGTCACCATGCTGAGGTGGTCTGGCTTGCCTGCTGCTGTCAAACTCACCCACTGGGAAACTTTCAGATTAGCTGGTTTACTGTAAACATGTTTAGTGTATGCACATTCTTGCATGCTTTTGCTTCATCCCTGCCCCCCTCCACCCTCTTCTCACCTGTCTATGTTTGTCTCTCTCACACATACATATACATTCACATAGAAGACATAAGTATACCTTACCTACAGGGCTCAACCCCATGTCTCATGCTCCAAGAGAAAGTTCAGAACATCAGGTGGTGGCTAAACTGATTTGGGTCAAGGAGATGATCCATATATTATATCATCAAGTACATACCTGCTCTCTGTGTGTATATCAGCATGGTATTCCTATTTGTAGTTTTGGGGCTTTTGTAATGGGGCCAGGAACCTCACATGCTTATATCCATTTATGGGAGAACCCGAATAGCTGGCAAAATTGCCACAAAAGTTCAGTCATTTCTACCCTATACATTTACTAGCAGATTAATCCAATTATCTAAATAATGCTTGCATGCTAGGGGTATGACTGAGTGACTCCATCTGTAAAACGTGGGTTTCAGAGTCATAGCCTTTTGCCCAGCAGCCTGTCACGCACACCCCACTGCCAGGCCTCCGCGTTGACCACCAAACCAGCTAGACAGGCACAGGTGCTCCCTCTTCAGCAAACTCTGCAATGCTTGTTACCATCACTGCCAAAGCAGAACTGCTCATTTTGTCTGCAGATGTTTGTTTTTGTTGAGACATGGACATTCTGCTTTTGTGTTACATTATGCAACACATTTATTTATACTGAAGTTTTTAAGATTTCTTTTTATTTATTTTTCAACCATTTGCTTCTGCTAGTGGTAGTGTAACACATTATGACCTTTAAGAGTTCCTGCAGCAGTGATGCCAGTGGCGAGGCCTCCATCACATTTACGTAGCTGTGCCGTCTTATGTCATCGCAGAGACGTCTGGATAAACCGGCATGTGTAGGACTGTAACAGTTCCACAAAACAGATTTTTATGAGCATGAATAGCAACTCCCTTATTAGCAGTAGTAAAATGCCTTTGTATACCTTACTGATGATAGGTAAAAGTTTATTAGCAAAACAAGTCTTTAATAATAAAGGCCAAGGTTTATGTTTCTAGGTAGACCAATAGGACTCAGCTCCAAACAGTTTGCATTTTTGAGACAAATGCAAACAACAGTCTCCTTCCTTGCAAGATGAGCAATATGCAGCTGGGAAAATAGTCCCTGGGAAATTTTTGCCAATACATTCTTTAAGATGCAGCTGCACTTTATGATATTTTCCTGCCAAAATGTATCCAGGTGTCCAACATTGCCATTAATTAATGCCCTAAGTCCTCGGGAGATCAGGAGCTACACATAAACCTACTACTTGTTCCTCTCAATTTACACAGTACATCTAGCACATTAGCATAATTAATAAAGTGGAGCAACTTCTGGCTTGGACAGATAAAACTGGTGTTTGTGTCATACTTGAAGAGAATGAATGGCAGTTTTACTTTAGTGATCATGACAGTCAGGCACTCTCTTTCCACCTCAATATCTCTTTGGGAGGCACTGTACAAAGGAGTTTAGATAGGAGACAAACATGAGGTGGTAGCATTTCTCCAGTGCAGAAGATCTAACAGATCATTGCTTCGACCACAAAACTAGGATTAAGGGAGTCTTGGGGGCCCTACATAGGTAACCCTTGTATTGCAGGATTAAGTTCATCCTTGTTGCCTATTGACAAATAAAACTGTTCACTGAGGATACATGTGATCTCACACTCTCCCAATTTAAACAAACCTAGGATTAATCCACAGTGCTTTGTGAAAGATAGTTTGTCACTTTATAGGACAATATAGCACGTGAGCACAGAAACATCCTTGTCCTCAGTCCAGATCATAGCCGATCCACCATGCACACCAGCTACCCTGATCTGACAGAAGGAGAGGGTGTCACTATCTTCAGCAGAAATAAGAGGGTACCAGTACCCAGATTTAGTAGCTGGCACAAGCAGGAACATGCTTTCTGCTCAGACTTTCTCCCACAGCTGTGGAGGAACACACAGCCATCTAGTGGCCAGTTCTTCGGTGAGAGAGTGCTGGACAGAGTAGTGGTCCAAATTTTAAGCTCATGCTATACATATTTGTTCATGTTTTGCAGTTATTTCTATGCACTTTGGTTTATTCCAAAATTACATCCACCCTAGCAAGCCATACAACAAACCTAATGTCTGAGAGGAAAAATTATGAGAGAATACTGTATAGCAGAAACCTAAGAGTTCAAAATAAAAAACTAATTTCCAGTTTCTATTAATCACAAGGACTAAACAGTGATCACACATGTAGTGAAAGATAAATTCATATCACACTTCCAACATCTAATAAAATTCAATTACATTGGTAAACTAAAATCCTACAAGAATATAAGAGGCTGAGTTGAGGTGGACCATTATACTCCAATATTTAAAATAATTTAAAAAAAAACCAACAACAAACCAAAACCAATACAAAACAGAAAAAACAGGCACTTTTACATACATAGTAAGGAAAAAGCTTTTTATTCTATGATTGTTGTGTTATAGGAGAACACTTACGTTTCAAAACCACAGGTAATTGAAACACAACAGTAACAGCACATACCCAGTGAAGGTGATTTAAATATTACATATATGTTAACATCCTCTACAAAACAGGCCAACATATAGTTATGTGATATTCAGCCTTCTCCCATCAAAGCAACCCCCTGCTCTATGCATTGCTACCTCCAGTAAGGAAATTGGACCCCAGAATTTCCCGTTGTCTAATTAGAAGCAAGAGATCTGCTGATCCTTAGTCAGAGTGGGGAAAGTCATTTTCGCCTTTGCCCATGAAAGGTTTTAGGTTCAGCCATTGGTTTGTGTACCTGAGTCATACTTTGCCTTTATCAAAAGAACTAACAGAGCAGCAATAAAAAGTGCACTGTATTTTGTTGTCTTATGCTGATTATAAAAACAGACTCTGTCCTTTATATCTTAGATAATGAAAGACACTGAGGCTTAAAAAAATCAATTTCCAAGAAAATATCCTTTTCTTTCTTTCCATTTAAAATCTAAAATTCTTGTTGCTGAATACGAAGCTGTCAAATCTGATTTTCAGGAGCATCTTCATCATTAGTGGTCTTCTCTCTCCCTTTCTGTTTTAAAAGGTTGACTGTTAGTGTCAAAACACAAGTTTTTTAGGCACCTCCCATGAGAATTCATTTCTTCCAAAGTGACCATAACATGCAGTCTTCTGGTAAATGGGCTTTTTAAGGTCCAGATCCCTATGTGTACAATAAAAAGAAGAGACAATTCTTCACATTAAGATACTCCATGATAACCATCATTAAAATCCTGATGTTGACATCCTTTTCACACCCTTAGTCAAGCAAGCATATTCTGAAGATGCAAGCATACCAGTAAACATGTCCAATGGAGAACCATAAGTGACAATAAGACTCAAATATGAAGTACTTTAAGGCTACAGGAAAAGTCCTTGTAATTTAGAATTAATAATTTTAATGGAAAAGATTAAATAACCTTCAATTTCTTTTGTAAAATAAAACATATCTTTTTCACAGCAAAGTAACTTAAAATCATTGGAATACAAAAGTAATTTTATTTTGTTTGAATTCCATATACTATATAAGGCCAAATGCTGAGAGTATATGCTTCATATGAAACTTGAAAAGTGCATTTGTTATCTTAAAAGATATGGCACACTGGTAGATCCATAGAAAGCATCAACTGTGACGGCTGACAGAATGACAGAATGAGAGAAAGTTTCATTTGTACTGCCTGGAAAAATGCCGTGCGAGCTCAAGAGGTTGACTCTCATGCTGTAATAAACACCTTATGGTTTTACAAGAAATAATTTCTAGGGTGTGATCAAAAAGGTATTTTCCTTTTCGTGTGTTTCTATACCTGACAATGACTCCAGGCCGAAGATCAAAGTTTTTATGCACAATGTCCAGCAGGTCTTTCTCTGTTTTTTGGGAAGTTCCATAAGTGAAGAGTGAGATGGACAGTGGATGAGCTACCCCAATGGCATAAGAAACCTATGGCAGAAAAGACCATAGCAAATAAACACAGCACATCGGTAGGCAACAGTATGCAACAGAAGAAACCATTCACTCATGAACCATCTTAGAAAAACTTCACTTCCCATATTTGTGCAATCTGTATTTGTAGAAAAAATAGAAAACTGAAAATTCTGAGGGAGGTGTCTGGACAACTTTCTTCCCCATTATCCAGTCACCATGTTTACTTCCATGATAGTAAGTGTCAGAGGGTTGAGGACTCAATAAATGTCCAGAAAAAACACCAATAAAATGAAAGTTAAATGAAAATTTCCAACTTTAAAAAGCTGATAGGCTATTAGTAAAATTACAGTGGTCTTGAACCAAGCTCATCAACGTGTCCCTTTCTTCAATCCCAAGCCATCACCAAGACTGCTTCTATTATAGTGTCTCATATGATGTATATTCAAGGTAAAGTTGAAAAGGAAAAATCTTTTTGAGAAAAGCAACATTCATAGCAAACTATACCTGAACCAGAACACGCCGACAAAGCCCAGCTTTCACAAGAGACTTGGCCACCCAACGGGCTGCGTACGCAGCTGATCGGTCCACCTTTGTATAGTCTTTGCCAGAAAACGCACCACCTCCGTGGGCTCCCCAGCCACCATAAGTATCCACAATGATCTTTCGACCAGTAACACCAGCATCACCCTGAATCAGTAAAAAAATTTGACCATTTTACAATCCATTTTATTATAACTCTTAAACAAGGCTATGCATTCTTCAGCAGGCTACAACAATGTGTAAGTAAGCTCACCACATATACACCGCTGTGGGGTAGCTGAAGGAATGAACTTGTCTCACCGCACTACAACAGTGGCTATAAATGTTCTTTAAAGCCAGATTCATAAGACAAGCCATTCACAAATCATGTTTGGTGTCAAGTGAACAGGTTTACACTCAGATAGCTAGAGCACACACTGCCTGTTTCAAAAGTAAATATTCCAGACAATACAGGAACTTTAGTTTAAAAGTTACCTATACCATATCCAAAATAAATACGGAATATTGCTAACAAACTATGTGCCATATAGGAATCACTGAGAGATTTTACACTGTTAAAGAAAAAAAAAATCAGGCTTTCATATCTTTTGGTCAAAATCTGAAGTTGTGTGAATATTAAATAGTATATGTCTTTTCTGTATTTACCATCAAAATGTATGCCAGTCCAACATTATACAACATTACATGGAGGCTGGCACTCAACACTTCCAGAGCAGTATCCTGACAGAGACTGTCATACAAATATGTACTAAACCCACATTTCCAATTTGCAAATATTTATAGACTAATTTAAACTATAAACAACAGGTATGGAGTAGTAGGCGTTTATAGGGAATTGAGAAAGGAGGATTACTTCTTTCTAAGAACAGATTCTTGTAGATTAATATTCTGAAATATTAAATAAGGAACCTTCTAGCTGCCTACACAGCTATCCTGATTGCTCCTTACAAGTACTTGATATTTATGTTTGATCTTGGTTAGCTGATCTAATTTGACTGATTGCCTGACACCCCAATCTACTAAATGCTTAAGCTTTCTGGAGTGAATGGAAACTTAGTCATATTTGAAATTCAGTCTCCACCTGTGCAGGCAGATTTGAATTTTTTTGTCTACAGAATATCATGTTAGTAAAATTCAACTGCTGGAATGTTTGCAGAGCAAACACAAGTGGAGAGTCAAAGTTTTTCTCAGAATGTGCATATACACAAGAAAACCTTTGGCACTGTTTGTTCCATTCTGTTAAAAAAACAGTGAGATGTACATCTGAATTTCAGATAACTAAGCTTGTCTAAAGGATTCTGTCCTCCTGGGGTTCTTCTGCTTGACTCAAACCTTAATTTCTGGTGGCACAAACAGTTGCAATAAAAACAACTTGTGTATGATCATGACTTGACTGCAGAACTGAGTGAGATGAAGAGAAATGGACAGGTGAAAGAAAAAAAAACCCAACACCCCTCATTTTAAAGGTGCTGAAAGAGCACAAATACATTTGTAAAGCGTGTGGAAGTCACTTTTGTGACAAGCTGTAATTCCTCACGGCACCAGCAGGTGTTGGGAAAACGGTGATAGCAGCAAAATTACTCAATTTGCCATAGCCAGAATTCAAGGTACCACCGTGCTTGAAAACTTCAGGTGAAACCGCAAGCGAGACACATGTGTCTCCCTTAGATGAACTGAGCTGGAGATTAAGAGAGCTTCCCGTAAGTGTTGTTAGAAATAAAACTTAGTACTGCTCTTATGAAAAGTAATCAGAAAGTTCAAGATGTACAAGACAAGGAAAGAAATAGTTATTTTCTGTTTTCTGCAATGCTATTGCAAATTGCAGAAGTGATGATAGCAGTTGTAAGGCCATGGACACACAGGTAGATTGACCCATACTGAGTAAACTTATCTGAGGTTTAAAAAGCTGCAAATATACACTGCAATGTGCCCGTGTTTGTACATGCAAACATAAGCAATACAGTTCCCCTGCAAGACCAAAAGAGGTATTTCTGGCTGGCTTACCAAATGTAATTATATTATATTTTTTAAATGGGTGCAGATCAGTGCACACCTGAAAATTTTCATGAGTAGCCGCCTTTTTTGCATGTAGCTATGATTGCGGCATTGGTTCATTTGCTCCAAGTTACAGCTGAAGTTTGCCTTTCCATTTGTCCATAGTCTAGGATGTTAATGATACATAAAATTACAGTGACACAACTAATTAAATTACACAAAAATACATTTTTTGTATCATCATTATTATAAATTCTTAATCTCAATATCTTCCTACCTGTTCTATGGCACTAATGTAAAAAAGGCCCTACATCTTAGAAATAATTCTGGCAAATTCCAGTAAATTAATTAATTTGGAATTTGGAGCTACTTTCAGGAAAGAGATTTGAAATTTTGCTGTGATAGTTCTGAAGAGAACTGAAGACTAAAACATTTGAAATGGTGAATTTGTTTTCAAAAACTAAATCACACCAGTCCTGATCCTACAGAGAGTGGAAGTTCTGCCTGACTTATCTGAGTGGAAGATCAAATTGTAAATTCCAGCTCCTGCATTGCCTAGATAAAGCAAAAACAACATTTATTTTCTCACCAGGAGAAGCCTATCAGGGGCTGATTTTCAGAACAGATTAACACCTTCAGCTCTCATTGGTGTCAGACAGAACAGTGTGAGCTATACACCAGGTTCCCTGTAAGAGGTGGAAACCTTTTCTTGTCCATGTCTCTGTAAGGTGTGCTCCCTGTGAGAAAGGATTGCATGTCTCAGTGCGGGACTCAAGAGGATTTGAGGAAACCCAGATGTGGGCTGTACATTTCACGCACAGTATAAGATTCAGCTCAACATGCCTGCCTCATCAAACCCTATGCATGATATAACCATTCCCTGAAAGATTACTTTAGAATACAGCACATGGAACCCTGGGCACTTCTCCTACATACAACAGCAGTTAAAGCTTCCCCTAGATAGCTTGCTTCTCATGCCTTAGGACAGACATACCAAAAAGCTGAGTGTTTCTTTTGAAACACACACCTAATGACATGGGCAAGCTGTTAAAAGCACCAAAAAAATACAACACAAACCTGAGGCCCTCCAATAACAAAACGTCCACTTGGTTGAAGGTGATAAATAGTTTTCTCATCCAAGTATTTTGCAGGGACAACCACTTGAATCACACGATCCTTCAGGGTTGTGCGCATATTCTCAAGCGAAATGGTTTCATCATGCTGCACAGATATCACAATGGTGTGAACACGCACTGGGATGACTGCTCCATTCTCCTGAATATACTGAACTGTCACCTGAAGAGAACAGGGAGAAAGAGGAAGGAAAAAACAAAGTTGCTAAAAAACATATTACTGGTCTACATCAAAAGTCATGTTATGCTATTCCAAGAGAAAATTTGTACCAAAATGTCAATGCTGACATTATAATGATCACTGTTTACATAGCTGCCAAGGTATGAGAAATGAAACCTATTTTTTCATTCTTTGTTTTTGCAGTGCTGAGAAGAAAAATAAATAAACAAATAAATAAAATTTTAAAAAAATGTGTCTTTTGGTTTGGATTTCCAGCCAAACTTCCAAGCCTCAGAAAGTCATATACTCAGTGCATCTTCAAAAAAGTTCAGCCCAAATCCCTAAATACAAATAAATCTTTCGGATCTCCTGTCACTTTTTGAACGAGCACAGGCTGTTAGTTTTGAGGGGTTAAATGTTTCCTCACTGGTAGGTGATTAAGTGTTCTTAGCACTCTGATACAGGTTAACCATTTTCCAACAGTCAAGGAGACAGTAGCATCAGCAGTGGAAACACTTTATCTACTACTTGAGGTTATGTAGTAGGAGTCCTGATACGCTGAACACCATCAATTGCCATCTTTAAAAATATTTGAGATTTCTGGAAAGAAAATATGTTTGTTTCAATTAGCTGGACTATCCATAACGATACTTACCTGTGTCTTAGAGTCAGGCCTCAGCCAAGGAAGTTCTCCACTACGTCTCAACTCTGCTAACCTGGCATTCAGCTTATGAGCAAGAATAATTGTTAGAGGCATACATTCTTCTGTCTCGTCTGTTGCGTAACCAAACATCAAACCCTGCAGGAGGAGAAGAGATACTTCAATCGCTGTTAAAAGCACCACAAAGGCAATGAGATTTCATCTCAAGCAAAGAGTAAACAGTACCCTCAGGTTTACTTTCTACTGCTCTACATTGAAGTGCAAGAAGCCTAAACTCAGATCAGGCTCCAACATGTTACAGTGTAATGAGAAACAAACCACATTCCTAGAATTTTTCACTGAAATTCTAAAGGTTTACATGTTGAGCTAGAAATCTGGACAAAAATGGAGTTTCTGTGAAAGTTTCTGTGAAAAAAGTTAGATTCTTTCACAGAAAAAAGTAATCCATTGAAGAAAAACAATTTCAGGACTATTCTGTCATAGGAAATATGCTCTCATTAGCCTGGACAGGTTGCAGAGGCTTTTGTGTATGAATACAGACACGCTTATACTGCAGCTCACATCTGACATTTCAGAGGAATGGGATGTGAATGCTTCATGAAGGACGTACATTTAACAGTTAAAGCACCTGCCTCAGATTTTCAATGCCACATGCTCCTAGTCACAGCTTCTACTGTGTCAAGTTCCCTGCATAAAATTAAAATTTGTTAAATAGAGTTTGCAGCATTTTCTTTCTCCTCATCCAGTGTATGTTGTGATAAAAAGAAAAAGAAAAAAAGAAAAAGAAAAA